CAAAAAAAAAAAAAAAAAAAGAAGAAATCACGTGGAGTTTGTCCTCTTGTAGGCCACCATACTGTTCACCTTATGAATAGTAGTAGTAAAGGAACGCAAGCGGACCTCTTCTGATTGGTCAATTAGTTGAGGCCCAGATTCCTCCCATTGCTCAGGTACCTCAAGGTCTTTGTCTGTGTAGATCAGAAGGTCGAAAGCACCTGAGTTATAAGAGACAAAAGTTAAGTCACATATAAAACACACAAAAAAGTCAACAAAAATATGTACCCTGCAACATATCAGCTTTATAAAGTAGTTCAGTTTGCTAGAATTCAGCTTTACATGAGTACGGAGTAGGGTGACCAAGTGGTTATTGCGGTTAATCTGATTTTGTGGAACACAGGGGAGCACAATAACTTAGTATTATTAAACTATGTCTACTAAATATAATGAACTGAATATAAATGTCCTTAAGCAGTGACTAAGTTATGCTACTTGACTAGACTATACAAAGATTGAAAAAGTTGAAATGCAATTTTGCCATTTTTAAACCCCAATAATCCCAGTTTGCAAATTGTTTACTTTTTTGTGCTATTGTAATTAAATAAAAATAAAATGGACAAAATTGAAATTCAGGACACTACTGTGATTTGCAAGACGCGGGACAAAGCTTTCGATTTCAGGACTGACTCTCCCGCAAAATGCGGGGCGTTGAAAGCATGTGTAGCTAAATTCAATTTGAAATGTAATATGCAAAATGGCAATGCAATATGTAAAATGGCAATGTATTTTTGTATTTAAATTTTCCATACATATGTGCAACATTTAGTGCAAAATTTAAATTCAATTATATAATTTCAATTTGCCATTTTCTACACTAGTTTTAATATGCAAACAAAAAAATATTTTAAAGCTTTATAAGTTGCAAAATTAAAATGAATTACCCAAATTGATTGTTTAACATGTCCAAGCAAAAACTGTAGCAAAATTATCATTTAAATGCTGTTTTTCCTAAATGCATTTAGACTTAGGGGTAGGACACTTGGTATTGCATTTATCATAATACCGTGTGATAATTGTAACAATGCAGTGAGAATTTCAGAATGCATTCTGAGCCAAAGGTGCAGCAAAAGGGTAGCAAAATGGTAATGTAAATGTCTTTTATTACTCTTAAATGCATTGACACTTACAGTACATATATGACGTTTCAATTGCATTTTCATTAAATACCCCACAATGAAGATAGTTTAAGTCATTGTGGATTTGAAAATGCATTCCGAGCCGAGCACGCCCCCTACCTGTCAATCATTACATCAAGGCGGGGCTCGGCAATAGGACGCACAATAGGTCAATATTCACCGTTAACCAAATGCTTTTCCTCTGCCTGAACATCTCTTACTGTTTACACTCCAATTGATGCACATAAGCAAACAGACAGTGCTATTCTACACTTATTTACTTGCCACCTTACACCGTGTCTACATCAGACGCGACAGTTGTTGTCGCATTGCGCCACAGCCATTGTAGACAGCATGACTGATTATAATGGGTTCAATGCTGTCTTTTGCCACGCCGCACGCATCAGGTGTAGACACGTTGCCTTATTTCCTCTCGCACTTGCCGTGGCATCTATAAGCGTCGTGCCTGCCTCAAGATTTCTCACCGTTTACACTCCGATTGATGCCCATTACCATACAAAAAAAAACCGCTGCCACTTTCACTGTGCCTGCCCCAGAGGACAGTTCACCAGTCAGATCTAGGCGCAGCTGTCACGGAACAGGCCACAGTCAAGGTAAAAATCACGGGGATCAATCGCGGTGTCCGATGGCTGTAAACAGAGATTTTTATTTTTAGGTTTAACTGTGATGCTCTCCAAGAGACCTAATGGTGCTTTTTCACTGCGTGGTACGGCTCGGCTCGGCACGGCACGGAAAGGCTTGGTTTGCATTTCCACTGCAGTTCAGTACCACTTTAGAGTGGGCAGGATTATTCACGTGTCGTTTATAGTTGCGCCGCCTCTACTGCCGCGACTCCTGAAAAACTTTTTCATTCTGTCTCGCCCCATCAAGCTCTTGCTGGATCCGCTCCTCTGCTATCAATGAGAGGAACGTCTGCATTTCCTCAACAGACAGCAAAACAGCCACTTTTTGGTTGTTAAAAAAGGTGCGCTCGTTCAGAACAGTTGCATTCGATCCCTAGGGCTGAACGATTCTGGAAAATAATCTAATTGCGATTTTTTTTAACCAATATTGCGATTTAATATGCAATTATTTTTTTTAAAGCTCTTTATGTTCTGTATTATTCAACAAAGACAAGCTATAAATCATTGTATAGTATGACCAACACACTATTAGATAGATTAAACAAATGTTATTTTCTGTAGGCCAGGCCTATATGTTGCAATGAAATTAGGTGATGCATGAATCGTTATGAATGACATTTTTATTTAACAACTACAATCACAGTATATTGACTGATTTCTTGAACTTCCAACCTTGTAAGCATGAAATAATTATGACAGTGACAAATAAGACTGGTGTAAACATTAATATGAAAGTCAGTAACAAATCACACAAACTAAAGTAGACTGCAGAAATATAAAAACAAATCTGTTGCTTTACCACACTACTTTAGGTCATTCACAGTCACTGTAATAAAAATATGTAAACTGTTGCGATGCGACGCGTCAACTGTAGCGTCCGGTATAGTATAGACATGATGAGTGAAGCCCAGAGCAAGATATGCCTCATCATATTTTCTGCATTTATCTTTTGAATGACCAGCACCTGCCTGGGTCTGTGCGACTTCCTCTATGGCTTTTCTCTTCGCTTTCACAAACCGACCCATCTCCCATTTTAAGTTACGTCCTTTGGCTGTTTACTTATTTTATTTTTCTGCTGATGGCCCGCGCTCGACTTGAAGCAGCGCTGCTTAGACCGATCGGTGCGTGTCATCAAAGTACTGAGAGAGCTATAAGAGAGCGCGGACGTCTCCTCATGCGTTCTCTCGCCATACTTTGATGTCATACACCGATCTGATCTTCAAGTCGAACACACCTCTTTACTCTCGCCTGTCACGTGACCGTGTAATCGCAGCCTCTGCGATTGAAAAATAGAATTTTTTTCATATCACGATATTATCGCAAATGCAATTAATCGTTCAGCCCTAAATCTAGCGGTTCTTTTGTGTTTGTGTCGCAAGTTCAGTGACGCAGGTAGTGACGATTCTCTCTGGCCAATCCGTGATCAGCAGAGTTTACACGTCACATTTTGGTAATGGTACGGTTCACTTGGAACCTCAACCGAGGTGGTACTAAAAAAAGTACCAGGTACCAGGTACTGTACCCAGTGGGAAACCCCCCAAAAGTGAACCGTACCGAGCCGTACCATGCAGTGGAAAAGCGCTAGTGCTGTGTTCAAAATATCGATACGACGATGTATCGTCACAGAGAATTGACGATACGAGTATTGTGGCATGTGTGCAGCAGTGGACTGCACTTAATTTGTTTAAAATTTTACAACGTTTAAAATTGAGAAACTCTCTCCGCTGTGAATAAACGTGCTTGCTTTCTGAAAACACTAGTTAGCTTGCAGTTTAGCGATCTCCACTTCAATATTCTATTCTCAGAAAAGTGTAATTCATCAACTGTTCATTTATGAGAGAGAGAGAGGCTGTGTATGTATGAATTACCACTGTTTTGCCGCGTTTCTCTAATTAACAGTAAAGCTGTGGCTTTAATTCCTTCAGAAACAATGCTACCAGCTCCTTGCTGAGAAAGATAATGTAGCTCTAGAGCGATTAAGCTATTTAGTTGATAAAACTGTGGGGCAGCGCTAAAAAGTTTGTTCCTGAATGTCTGAGTCCGGCCGCAACGTGCGTGACTGCACTTAACATCAAACTGCTTCTGTGTCACACAAATGCTGGCACAGACGTGCATGTTCGGCTAGAGTCTCTTTGAACTCGTGCATCTTCGGAAGCTGAGATGCACGGAAAGTTACAAAAAATAGTTGTGCACACCGCCACGCGAAACGACGTTGCGAACTTGCGGACGCTTTGAGTATAAATCAGCCTTGAGAGTGTGCGCGTTAGATACAGTGAAGAAAGCGCGTCAGTTTATCTTCTAATTTTTTTTTTTAATTGTAGAGTGTGTTAATTTGTGCAATGATAACCTACCAGCAATGTAAATTATTTTTTAAATATATTAGAATGAGTACATTACAATATAAACTTATTAGAACAAGTTAGGGCTGGACAATAATTCAATATCAATATGTATCGTGATATAATATTTTTCAATAACTGTGATATGATTTTTAAACACATTTCCAATATTTCGATATACATTACCAGTGTTTCCCATACATGTTTTATTTGTGGCGTTTGACTTCGTTGAATAAACATGAGCACTGCACGTTTCAAAATCATAACACGGCGGGTGTTTTATATGAATGTATCTCTGAAGGGAATTGACTGTCTTCAGAAAAGTTTCGATGGAATTTTCATTTGATCGGATAAAGAAGCGTTCATGAGCAGAGCTGCTTTGATTACAGCCATTACTGGGGAAAGCGCTAGTTTTATCTCTAAAAGCGCCTCCTGCTGGCAGAGAATGAGTTTGCATTTTAATAAGCCCGTCTCCAGCAACATTTCCAGTTTGTTGTTGTTCAAATTTTTTTTCTGCAGCGACTCAGAGCACTTTTCATACCCTTTTTCTGGCTGAAGCACATTTGTTTCAATCTATAAGAATAATCAGCCTACACTACCAGTCAAAAGTTTTTGAACAGTAAGATTTTCAATGTTAGTTTTTCTTTTCTTTTTAAGAATTCTCTTCTGCTCACCAAGGCTGCATTTATTTGATCCAAAGTACAGCAAAAACAGTAAAATGTTGAAATATTTTTACTATTTAAAATTGCTTTCTATTTGAATAGATTTTAAAATGTAATTTATTCCTGTGATCATACATAGCTACATTTTCAGCATCATTACTCCAGTCTTCAGTGTCACATTACCCTTCAGCAGTCATTCTAATATGCTGATTATCAATATTTAAAACAGTTGAGTACATTTTTTTTTTTCAGGATTCTTTGATGAATAGAAAGATCCAAAGATCAGCATTTATCTGAAATAAAAAGCTTTTGTAACATTATACACTATTCCATTCAGTATAATTTGTATTATTTTTTGGGGAAAGAAATTATAGAAGTGAATACTTTTATTTAGCAAGGATGCTTAAAATTGATCAAAAGTGATGATAAAGGCATTTATAATGTTACAAAAGATTTCTATTTCAGATAAATAGTGTTCATATCGATATCGGAATTTAAGAAATATATCGTGATATCAATTTTGGCCATATCGTCCAGCCCTAGAACAAGTACATTATTATTTATGGGCTTAAAAACAAGATGCAAACAATCAGAATATTGTACCTGGTGGGAGTGCCCAAATGTAAACATATCCTATATTGTACTGTGGTACAGTTATGGAGGCCCTTCATAATGCAAAGGTCAACTGCTGCTCTGCCAATAGTTAGAAATGGCACTATAGTAAGCAGTATTTAATAAACAGCTGTTTTTGTAAATTCTGCTCAGGTGAAATGCAGTGCAGTCATGTATCGTGGCATCTGTATCGTGATACGTATCGTATCGTGACTTTGCTGGTGATACACAGCCCTAAAAAGCGCCATAAGTGGGTAAAGGCTAATATATATATATATTTGTAGTACCATTTAATCAATGGCATATGCAATACTGCTGGGGGGAAAACAATTCTTAAAAACGTGTTTGTCTGAAATCTAATGTTACAGCAACTATAAAAAATTATTTCATACAAAATATATAGCACAGGATGACCATGATCTTGCGGTGTGACTGTGCATGGATCTAATGATCACAAGTGTAGTTTACTTACAGGCAGTTTCTAACAACGGCAAGAAGGTAACTGTGGCAGTGATCTGTCTGATAACAGAACGGATTTCCTCTTGGATAGCTTTTATGGACTTCTCCCTGGGTGCGCTGGAAAAGCCAAGGTATACAGTTCTTTATGCACATTCATATTTGCATTGGTCAGGTAAAAAAAACTAAATCACTTTTAGCTTCTCATCATTTTATCACAGGATGTGATCGAATATGAAAATGCAATTATTAATCCTTCCTCACAGTTTAAGTTTGATTACGTACCTGCCCTCCTTTGCAGTCTTGTCACACTCAAGATCAAACTGCCATCGCTCCAGCACCTCATTAGTCTCCAGGCATGTGATGACCACCACCAGCTTCTGAACTGTGCAATCAAACAACCATTCTGCAACGAAGAACGATAAACAATGCTAAGAACTAAACAGGCTCAGGTTTCCATTTCTAGTCATGACTGTATAGCTCTTTTCTACTTAAATAGAGAAAGACTGAAATCTCAGCCAATTCAATTGTTTCTCTTCAGCTCAAATCTCCCAAAAATACAAAAACAATATTTCTTTTTTGTCTGGCCCAGCTAACATGCATGAGTGTTATACTGTTAAAGTAATAATTTTTTTGCCGCGATTGGCTGAAAATGTACTCGCCCTCATGCCGTCCAAGATGAAGTCTTGACTTTTTTTTCTTCATCAGAACAGATTTGGAGAAATTTAGATGTGCATACAGCTTGTAACTTCGGAAGACCTTAAATTGATGGTCTGGAGTCATGCAGATTCCTTGTGGATTATTGTAATGTTTTACCAGCCGTTTGGATTCTCATTCTGATCCGTGGGTAAGTACCGTCTCATAGGTAGCCACTCGCTTCACTGCAAATGCTAAATTTCTCAAAATCTGTTCCGATAAAGAAACAAATTCATCTACATCTTATATTTTCTGGGTGATTTATTTATTCATTCACTTTTTAATGCCATGCCAGCATCAAGGTTTCATTTCTTCATTTATCTCTTTAATGAGGCATCTGAATAAATGTAAATTGGCTCTTTTAACTGTAAGGTGGGACTATCATTAATTCTACAGACACATTAAGTGTTGCAGTATCTTGATCTAAATGGCAACTGAACAATATATTTAGCATTACAGCTTGCCATTCATATACATTTAATAATATCTGAATGCACATATTAAGTATTACTACTCCTACTACACTGCACCACCAATGTTAATGAAACAAACTAACTGTTCCACGAGATGTGGTACTTTCATTGAAAAACAACCTTTGAGTTGTGAGATGACATTGGTGAGGTAGTTCTTCAGCTTCGCATCTGTGGTCAGTTGAAGGCTCATGTCATATTGTGTAACTCTGGTGAAGGTTTCTGCTGGGTAGATTCCTCGCTGGTACAAGATACTGTTGATACCGAACGCTACAGACAACAAAGGACCGGTTTCATTTATTTTCTGAAACAAAAAGGCACAGCACACCACTCCATACCAAAATGTATTTCATGTTCACGTTTAACTAACGTTAAACAGTTTCTGCAACGGCCCCAGGTTAGACATCCACGACGCCATGAAACTCATTCATCTGCCCCAAAACCATTACTTACAGAAAAACTCCGCAACGAGTTCTGCACTCCCCTTCAGCGTGATTCCTTTCAGTGTCTTAGACATCTTGTATTTAGTTTAATTGTGGTTGGTTTCTGTATGCCTTGCGCCCTCCTCGCTTGCTGCCGCTTTCTTCTTAACCGCCGACCAGTTTGAATCTGGACGCTGCGTCTGACGCAGGCGCGTATGTCATTGTGACGAACCCGGAACTGCTGGCGTTCCACGAATCCACGTTCAGAGAGAAAAAAAATGTTTATGCTGATTAATGTTGTGCAACATAATGCTTATGACCAAGTCTTTATTATCAACAATTTACAAGGGCGATAATATTATAATAAGTAGAATAAAATGTTGCAAAATGGGCGTGGTTTAGAGGCCCGGATGTTTTCACTCATTGGTCTGGTAAGCAGGATCTAAATAAAAACATTATAGCAGTGTCATTTTTCTTGCGTAAATGACTGTGTACAGAGCAGTTGTTTCAAATAATTCGTCCTTGAATCCCCCCCACCCACCGTTAGTTATTTGATAATGCCAAATTTGATAATAAGAGCAACCCATTTGTGTATTTAAATATAAAGCGTATTCATACTTTTGAAATATTTTAATTTCAAAAATGATAAATTAAACTAATTCAATTTGCTAAATTATTATAATTAAATGCAATTGTATTGTTTTTATGAAATATAAAAAATATATTGGGACATTGCACATGGCCTGTGGAATTTCAAAAGGGTCTGAATTTCAAGACGCTGTGGTGGTGATTTAATGATTATTTATTTTATTTATTTATTTAGTCATTTATTAGAGGCTTTTATTCAAAGCGACTTACAAATGAGGACAACAGAAGCACTCAATTGTAGTATTAAAACAACTAAAAACAGATCCAAAACTAAAAGCTGAAACTTTATAAATACTATCTATACACATTTAAAAAATAAAGAGATTAAATAAAAATGACAAATGCATACAACACAATTTCAAAACTTAACATTTAAAAGAAAAACAAAAAATAAAGCTAAAAACAATTCAAAATATTAAAGAACAAAGGGTATAAGAGTATAATAATGATTCTAACATAACACACTAAGCCAAACACAAAAAAAAAACGACATATGTGTATGTACAACCACACACACATGCA